AAAAAAAAAGATTTCCAAAATAACAAAGATTAAAAAAAAAGATTTCACTTTTTTGTTGGCCATTCAAAATCAAATGCAGAGTTACACAAAAAGTGATGTCCTCCTGGTGGTTCCTATTTACTATTTATTTTGGGCACTCAGTCACTGCTCAAAATAAATAATCAGCGCTCGAAATAAACACCAATGCAGTTGGCGTCGTGGTGGAAGTTCCAATCTATTTTGAGTCAGCCCTTGCCCGCTGCCTAAGCTCCTAGCAAGGAGCTACCCTATGAAACACACAGAAACTCTGGAGGATCCTAGGACAGAACAAAAGGCAGGCAGGACAATTGTCTCAGGGAAGCGCGCACAGCGTGTGACCACGTAGGGTGTGGGTGTTGACATTTCCACCTCACGTTGCTTGGTCTCGAACACTTTTTAAGTTGTCTTTTCAACTTGCTCTCCGTAAGGTCAAGATCTAACACACGGTCACATCGCACTGCCTCTCTGGTATTTAACATATTGGTGATTTTAATGTTTTAAAAGGTTTCTTTCGAAAAGAAACAACAAAGGAAAATACTGACAGATTCGACTCCAGGACAATGTAAAATTTCTACGGAATGAAAAATAAACATTAGAATGAGAAAACGTAGTGGCATTCAAGATGACCCTGAAGGGTCAATATCTGTCACTGGATAAAAAGCTCATTCAGAAGTCCCCACGTATATATGGGCGAAGCATATTTAAAAGCATTAGGGAAAATGTTACACTGACAGATAAACCAAAGAGCTGCAAAATATACTTTATTCCTGTGAAGTTGGAAAAACAGGAGAAAGCAAATCCGTGGGGTTGTGGTACGTACAGACATGACTATCGGCATTAAAGGCAAAACTCTCTGGGGAAGTAAGAATACGATGTGACGAGAGACAAACTGGACTGGTAACCTCACCCCTCAAAGTGTATCCTAAGGAAATAATTTGAGAGAAGAAAAAAAGCCATCTATGTGATCTCCACTATTAACCAAATGGGAATAACCTCCTTGTGCAGGAAGAGTTAAATGCTATCAACAGGGCAGACAGATTTGAGGGGGCTAGTGAGGAAGTAGGGGGAAGGGGGAAGTAGGGGCTAGTGAGGAAGTAGGGGGAAGTAGAATCCCTTTGGGATTCTATTACAATAGTCTGAATTAATGAAGTATCTAGGGCCACGGTGGCTCACGCCTGTAATCCCAGTACTCTAGGAGGCCGAGGTGGGTGGGCTGCTTGAGCTCAGGAATTCCACAGCAGCCTGAGCAAAAGTGAGACCTGTCTCTACTAAAAATAGAAAAACTAGCCAGGTGTTGTGGTGGGCACCTGTAGTCCCAGCTACTCGGGAGGCTGAGGCAGGAGGACTGCTTGAGCCCAAGAGTTTGAGGTTGCCGTGGGCTATGACTCTGGGCAAGAGAGTGAAATTCTATCTCAAAAAAAAAGAAAAAGTATCTAAGGCCTCTCAAATAACTGGCATTTTGTGGTTAATCATATGCTATGGTAAGTAGAGAAGAAAGGAACTGTGTGTGATCTGAAAGGCCCTGGGAACCCAGCTGACACTAAAATCCTCACATACTCAAGTACTCCATATAAAACGGGGCAGTATTTGCATATGATCTATGCACATCCTCCATCTCCTTTAAATCATCTCTGCACTACTGGTAATACCTAACACAAGGCAAATGCTGTGCTCATAGTGATTATACTGTATTTTTGTTTGTATTTTTACTCTCATATTCCTATTTTCATTGCTTTTTTAAAAAAAAATATTTTCCATCTGTAGTTGGTTGAATCCATGGGTGTGGAGCATGCAGCAACAGGGCTGACTACATTGAGACAGCTCAGGGAAGGGGCCTGGCTGAAGGTGCTGGGTTGAGAGGCACGGATATATACAGTTGCTAAAATACCAAGAGAACAAACAGAAAGCACAGGGAACACCCTGAAAAGTGTGTGGGTCGGGGGCTTAGCCAGGGATGGTAAAAAGATGCTGACAAGAAGATGTGGACAGAGGTGGCCGTGCAGGAGCCACATGGTCTGGAGAGGCAGGAAGAGTGGCCTGGTGAAGGCCACCGTGGTGGTTCTTATTTTTTTTTTTTTTGGCTGGGGCTGGGTTTGAACCTGCCACCTCCAGTATATGGGGCCGGTACCTTACTCCTTTGAGCCACAGGCCCCACCCTCGAGTGGTGGTTCTAATGAAGAGGAAGGGCCAGGAGTCTGAGGGGCAGAAGGCAGTTTAGGATATGCCCGCTGAGGGTCAGCGAGGGCTGGTGGGTGGCCATAGGCAACACACCCGGGACACCTGATCCAGAGGTAGATGACCAGAGGGCAGGGGCTGAGAAGGGGGTGCTGAGGGAGGAGCCATGTGGTGGGAGGACACAGGTCCTAGGAGAAGAGAAAGGAACCCTGCTGGGGCCTGGTGGTTGCCCTGACAAGAGGGAAACGCCTCCGATGCCCAGCGCCTGTTTAGGACACTGGATGAGAGTGCTGGTCCAGGCCCAGGATTTTGCTGGACAATTCTGGCTGAAGAATCAGGATACAAAGCACTTGAAGATGCAGGCAAAGGCGTTGCCTGCAGTGGGTTAACTCACGCTTCCCCTTTCTGTCAACCCCAAAATCTGGGAAGGAAGTGAAGCCAGAAAAAGGCAGGTAGTCTTGGAGATAGTATAGAGATCGGGGAGCGGAGACAGCAACGGGGTCGGCCAGGAGGGGCCACGGAGCTGGAAGCACCCTCTGCCACACTGGAGGACAGGACAGCAGCTCGGGGCAGCATGTGAGAAGGCCACAGTGTGGCTGACAGCACAGGACGCAGATGTCACCGTGGATGAGGCCCAGAAACCATGTGGCTGGTGTGGACAGTAACAATTTGAGGATGACAACAGGGGGGACGGACAGCTGTGATAAGGGCTCTGGCAGGAATGCTCACTGCAGCCCCGGCTGGGCAGGGGTGATGGCTGGGAAGCAGAATCAAGATGGGGAGAATGGTGACCAGGCAGACATGGGGCCTGGGGGAGAAGCAGCCCCCACCTGGGGGACACGAGGGAGAAAGGGGAGACATGTCCCTGGAATGCTTTTAAATCTGACACTAGGTTATAAATAACTTCAAGGTCTTCATTTCTTTTGTCTCCCTCAAAGCACCTATCGGAGTGTCTTGTTCCGAGTAAGACCTCAATAAACATTTGATAAACAAACAAACATATCTTCCAGTTTTGTTTCTAATGGAAGCAAATACAGGAGCTCACAAATTCAGACTAATTAGGGAAAACAGTATATCTGAATTAGTAGAAAGTTTTAATTAACAGGACATATTTAAAGAAACAAGGCCTTATTACATTCAAATGCCCATAACAACGTTTACCAAAGAATTTCCAAAAAGTGCTTGAATTCCTGTTTTAATAAACAAAAAAGACCAATCTGTATTTAGCGGCCTAATCATTTACAGGAAAATGACTGAACGCACTGTCTCAGCAGGTAAACATCTCCTCCCTGGGAACACGACTTAGACAATTAACCTGCATTATCAGCTCCTTCCTTGGATCATGAAACGCCATGTGTCCAAAGCATCACACAAGGGAAAGTAGTGTTCCAAATTCACAAAGCCATCAGTGAAATGACTCCCATGTGTGGCAACAAGCAAGTTTAGGAGAGTGAGGGGAACCGGGACAGTCCTCTCCCACAATACCAGGGGCTTCAGATCACACCTTTCTTTTTCTTTTTCTTTTTTTTTTTTTTTGAGACAGAGCCTCAAGCTATCCCCCTGGGTAGAGTGCTATGGCATCACAGCAGCTCACAGCAACCTCTAACTCCTGGGCTCAAGCGAGTCTCCTGCCTCAGTGTCCCAAGTAGTTGGGACTACAGGCGCCCGCCACAACACCTGGCCATTTTTTGGCTGCAGCCATCATTGTTGTTTGGCGGGCCCAGGCTGGATTCAAACCCGCCACCTTAGGTGTATGTGGCTGGCGCCTTAGCCGCTTGAGCCACAGGCGCCGAGTCAGATCACACCTTTTAAACCTTGAGCCCAGGTATGCTGTCACTCACCAAAAAGGCAACCGTTTCCGGTTACTTTTTTTCTCCTTTGGTTAAAACTAAAGGGTTTCAACAGAAAGAAGCCAAGGAAATCACTGTCTCCTGGGTCTGTGTCTGAAGGCATTGCCATAGCCTTCTCGAAAAATACCAATACAGACAGATATTTCCATTGGGCACATTACATCCGAACTTAAAAGAGACTTTTAACTAGGATTTACCTGCTGAAAACAGAATCCTATTATCTCCATTATAATCAGAAACCAGGTCTGAGGAGAAGACCAAAAGCCTTTCAGCGCATGGGTCGGCAAA